AAAGACAGCAAGTACTTCTTATAATGAGTAACATTATCCAATTATGTTAATATTTACAAAAAAGTACAATAAAAAGTCTTCAAAAAGTGGGACATTGTCCCACAAATTTAAATTCTTAATATGTCCGATATACCACCGAGTTAAAGCTTGTTATTTTTTGAGTTGATAGTCTACATTATTAGCTACATTTTGAACTAAATTATAAGCTTTAATATTGCATATCATGAGCACAAAAAATTAAAAACTAAAATCACAAAATCGCCGATTTCTCGGTTCCTACAAGCTCTAGGGCAGCCATAGAAGACTCATAATATGGATAAAAATAATACCTTTTGAAATACAATGTAAAAAATAAAATAACTGTAATAGTTTAGACAAAAAAAATTTTTTATTTCTTTTTCACAATGTGGTACAAAAAAAGAAAAACCGGGATTTCGTCGAAACTATTATAGTTAGAATCGTGGGAGTTTTCCTCTTGCGCTTAGAATGAAGAGCTTTATCTGATTCACCTTTAATCAAGGGAGTGGTAATTTTGAGGTGAAATAACACAATGTGAGGCGTTTGAAATTGTGCATATTATCGTTTTTTCCGTAAACTAGCTGCGGTAGAACGATCAGTCCAAAAATTGGAAAATAGCATTTAATTTTGCAAATATTCTCTTCTTCTTCTTCCGTCCCTGTTCCCGTTATCTGGGGTCGGGTCTCCTCACTCTACGGCGCCAGGTTGATCTGTCCTGGGTTGTCGGTTTTGGCAATTGGGCTTTCTTAAGGTCTCTTTCAATGTTTGACCACCAGGTCGATGGCGGGCGGCCTCTACCTCTCTTTTGTTCTGGCAAGCTTAATGCGATTTTTACTACATGGTCATCGTCCCGTCTCATGATGTGGCCATACCATCTAAGGCGATTTTCCATCATTTTGTCTGTGATTGGTGCGACTTTAAAACTCCCCCGTACGTATTCATTCCGAACTCTGTCCATCCTGGTCACCCCACCCGCCCAGCGCAACATCTTCATTTCGTTGACATGTGCCAGCTGTTCATGCGTTTTCTTGACTGTCCAACATTCGGAACCGTACAGTAAGGCTGGCCTGACGGCTGTCTTGTATACTTTACCCTTTGTTTTTATGGGCATACGGGTATCACACAGAACTCCTGTCAGCGACCGCCATTTCTGCCACGCTACATTTACACGGTGCGCAACATCGGCCTCCACATTGGCATCTGGCGTGAGCATAGATCCCAGATATTTAAACTTGTTCACAGTGGGGATAGGTGTTGATCCAATACATATGATTTCAGGAGTTGCATTTCCGCTAAAGGGGCATTTCATGTACTCCGTCTTACTTTTGCTCACTCGAAGTCCGTACTTTTCTAAAGAGTGTGTCCACGTATTTAAAATTTCTTGCAGGTCTTTTGCAGTATTTGCCGCCAGTACGATATCGTCAGCATACAGTATGGTCCGCGGTAAAGGTGCTGGAATATGGTTTGTTAGATAGTCCATCACTAGGTTAAATAGAAAAGGACTTAAAGCAGATCCCTGATGGACACCAACTTTGACCTCGAACGCGTTACTTAATCCTGCTGGTGTTTTGACTTGTGTACTGATGCCGCTGTACATATCTTGAATTATTAATATATATCTCTCCGGTACTTTTTGCGCTCTTAGAGCCTGCCACACGAGTGTGCGGGGCACTCTGTCAAAGGCCTTTTCGAGGTCGATGAAGGCAAGATGTAAATCTGTTTTGTTTATCCTGTGTTTTTCCATCAGGATTCTGACTGCCTGGATAGCATCAGTGGTTGATCTAGACGATGTAAAGCCAAACTGATTTTGGGATACATTTGTAATAGAGGACAGGCGCTTATTTATGATCCGCTCCCAGATTTTTAGAGTGTGTGAGGTCAATTTTATGCCCCTATAATTTTCACATTGGGCTACATCCCCCTTGTTTTTGTAAAATGGCAGCAGATAGCTTTGGCGCCATGATTTTGGGATTTGTGTGGTGCCTAAGACGGTATTAAACAGTTTAGTTAGCCAGTTAACTGCCGTGGGACCGAGTCGTTTCCATAGATCGGCTGGTATCTCGTCTGGCCCTGCAGCTTTTCGGTTCTTCATGCTAGCTACTGCAAGTTTCACTTCATGCGAATCTATTTCCAGTAATGGTCCGCAGACATGTTCAAGGGGGGCGGGATCTTCGTGCGGGAATTCTTCATTTAGTAAGTGTTCATAGTATTCTTGCCAGCGGTGCATAATTTGCAAATATTCTACATTAACTTATAATAAGAAGAATAAATGTACTGTTTACTTCTATAGGAAATAGTCAAAATCTTTTCTAAGGGGGTAAACGAGGCGCTCAAAAATTGTGAAATGGCTCTTAAGTAATTGTTACTTGAATCCTCCTGTACCCTTCGGGGCATGTTGGGCCAAGGGTCAGAATGTCCAATGTGTCAAATTGGACATTCTCAGGACATTCTGACCTTTGGCCAAACATACCCTGGAGGGCTTCAGTAGCTCCTATTCAAAAGACTGACGATTTGGAAACGACCAAAATTCAGGGCCCTTTGTTGAATTTTTTTGTTTTTACTGCCCTAGAGGGCTCCAGTAGCTCTTATTTAAAAGACTGTCGATTTGGACACGACCAAATGACAGGGCCCTTTGTTGAAACTTTATTTTTGCTGCCCTAGAGGGCTCCAGTAGCTCTTATTCAAAAGACTGACGATTTGGACGCAACCATAAATTATGGCCGTTTGTTGAAATTTAATTTTTGCTGACTTAGAGGGCTCCTGTAGCTCTCATTCAAAAGACTAACGATTTGGACGTGACCAAAAGTCATGGCCGTTTGTTGAAATTTCATTTTTTGCTGCTCTAGACGTTCGGCTTTACATAGATGGCTCAGGTATAGTAGGACTACTTAACTAGGTGCAAGGTTTGTCCCCCCCCCCCATATTTTATTCTGCCGCGCTCGAGTAAATCCAAAAGTCCCCGCATGGGCTCCTCTACTAATAATAAGACATAGAGCCCAAAATATAGGCGTCATAAAAAAATCTTTAAATTCAAACTACTGTATTTAATAAAACAACCATACTATAGTTAACAAATGTTAGTTCAAAATTAAACCTTATCATTATGGGACGTAGAGCCCAAAACGTCGGCGTTGGTTGACGCAGCACTGTTAGATATCCCTAGAAGTTTCTTAGATATCATTGCTATTGGTATATTGGCGCTTGACGCGTGGCACAGATGCTGGAAGAGGGGAGGAAAAGGATCAAGAATAGTTTAATATCAAGTCATAATGACTCATTTCCAAAGGCCTGAGCCCTAACTTTGACAGATCGAAGCGTCATCGTGAAATCTTATATAGAAGAAGCCAGTTTGTTCTTACGTTTAAATAAATAAAATAAATAAATAAATATTTTCCAACATACACCAATTAGCCTGGCCCCAAAGTAAGCACTGTAAGGCTTGTGTTATGGGATACAAGGGTAACGGGTAGAACACATATACAGTACATATATAAGTATATTGATATAGAAATACATATTAAACATCCATGACTGGAGTACAAATGCTCGTATTCATCACACAAACATCTGCCCCCACCGGGATTCGAACCCGGGACCTCTCGAGTCGGCGACACTATGAAACCCGGCGTACAAACCACTCGGCCACGGAGGTCGTCTTGCTAAGTTTTCATACAGACTTTGACGATGCGATACGTGCTTCGCTCTGGAAGGGTCAATTGCCTAACGTGATTGCTATGGCTATCGCTATTAAAGTGCTCACTTTGGGGCTAGGCTGTAGTATTACTGTAACAAATATGTATTTATTTATGAACTCTTGTCAACAAGTTTTGGGTAGCTACAGGTTATATTTGACTGTAGAGATGGATATTGGAAATTTTTCAGCTGCAATCCTGGGGGCCAAGTGCCTAATGGGATTGCTATAGCTATCGCTAGCTCTTACTATTTTATTTCGTTATTTCTGATCACAAAAGGTTTTTAAATATCTCAACGCTCATTTTTTTTTAATATTTAATTTATTACCAATGCAAAAGAAAAAATACGAGCGCGAGGCATTTGAAAACCCTTCAGCGGTCAGAAATAACAAAATTAAATCGTAAGAGATAGCGATAGCTATAGCAATCCCGTTAGGCAATTGCCCCCCTGGTCTGTAGCTGAAGAATTGCCAATATCCAACTCTGCTGTCAAATATAGCTCCTAGCTACCCAAAACTTGTTGACAGCGTTCATAAATAAATGCATATTTCTTACAGTAATATTACAGCCCAGCCCCAAAGTGAGCATTGTAATGCCGCCATTACATTTGGTCGTCAGGGGGTCGTCTTAAGCCAAATGGAGAATAGGGTATTTCACAGTATTAAAAATAAAGTGCCAATTGTTAGCATCTGTATTTAGAATGAATATTGGCAGGAGTTTTTACTATTTTTACAGAAAAAACATTCATAATTTTACTAAAAACCCACGATAAAGATAATAGTTCTCTTTTCTATTGTCACGTGACCCAAAACGCTTGGGATTGGTGGAGCCTAAAATGACTAAATATCAAATAGGATAAACTTCCGGTTAAAGTGACATTTGATTGTATGGTTTGACGTTTAATGACAGTCGTGTGACGTCACACACCAGTGAGGCGCCATATTGTCCAGAGATACGTTTTTCGCGGCAACTTGAAAATAGAGTTTTTGATTCGTACCGAAATACACAACATAATGATGAATATCCACTTTTTGTGGACTCTATAAACATTAGTAAATAACGTGAGATCGATTTTTAAAACTTGTCAAATACCTTATTACCTACAATGCGAAGAGATGGCGCTGCCTTGCGGCCTAAGAAATACTAGAAGAAATGTGACACGCCCCTCAGGGCAGCGGTAGAACAATGGTCAGTGCATTTGCTCGGATAGCGCAGGGTGCGGATTCGAGACCGCGTGGAGTTTTCTAGTAAAAACTTCCTTCGGTTTATAGATGTGTTATAAGTACTAACCTTATCAACTTCGGTGTCGAATTGTTCGTGTGTGGCACCTTTTGATAATGCACCTTTCTCCATTAGAGTGGCTCGTTTAGCAGCCAAGTAGAGAGACCTAGAAGAAATAGTTATTTATGATATAAATGCGGTAAGTTGGTTATATCTGCCGTCCTCAAACTAAAGACATGTGGTCGATTATTCAGTCTTAAATTGCATCTTATACAGTTTTTTTATTCTCTATCGATCTGTCTTTAACATGTATTCGTACTTTTATACTTTAAGTCTAAAAATCCGTTATGTGATGAATTGTTACAAAATAGCAATAATTTAAAGTTTACGCATCGTTTTTAGACCATATATTAAAAGTTGGTTTTGTCATTTAGCCGCGTTTTAGCTTGGGGTCGGCGGATATATAGCGTTCGGTTGCGATCGTTGAAGTTAAGCAACTTTTGCAGTGGTCGGTCCTTGGATGGGTGACCGAATATTTACTATCTCGTGCTCCTCCGTGCTTCGGAAGGTACGTTAAGCCGTTGGTGCCGGCTGCATCTGCAGTCGTTAGCACCCGCCAATGCGCACTGGGCCCGCGTGGTGGGACATGGCCCAACCACCCTATTCCATCCATAGGGAAGGCCTGTGCCCCAGCAGTGGGGACATTAATAGGCTGATGATGAAGTTTGTTATTACAAACGAGTAGACGAATGTAAGCGCGAGACGAAGTCGATGGCTTACCATAGTCACAAGTTAGTAAACACCAATTCCGCACGAATGTCATACAACGTTTTTCAAAAGATTTGCGAGAAAACTGTACCCCTAGCACGAACCATTATCGAATTCGAATAGTTTGCAAACCGAAATGTCAATGTCAAATTTGTTTGGAAACTTGAACAGCAGCGGCACAAAGTACGTAACGAGAACTAAAAATCAGTACACATTTGACAATGACATTTCGGACTCGCAAACTATTCGAATTCGATAATGGTTCGTGCTAGGGGTACTGTACCTATACCTAATTTAAGTAATGAAGAAGAAATGAACTATTTCTGATAAGAAAATAGCGCGCATTTTCAAATGGCGCCACGTGCAGGTGATGAAAATTAGAACTACATCATTCCTCTTTTTTTTTTTAATTGAGACAACGGTGTAGCTTGAAAGCGCTTCCAAGAAGGTTCAATCGAAATAAAAAAAAAACCGTAAAGGATACGCATGGCACTATGTAGTGGAGCGTGCGGTAAAATGTTTTACCGAACGCTCCGTTGTATGGCCCGTAATTTTGAACTTTCGAACAATGTATACAACCTGCGTAAAGGCATTTCTTGAGCAAATGTGTGAACGTGTTTGAAAACAATAATTCGAAAATCTCATCTCAGTCAGTTAGCAAAGGGATATGACTCGGCTTAAGATATCGGATTGGAATCAAACCATCGACCTACGCTACCGACCAGAAGTTCTACTCTCATCATCAGTCTATTAATGTCCCCACTGCTGGGGCACAGGCCTTCCCTATGGATGGAATAGGGAGTTTGGGCCATGACCCATGAATGGTGGGTGCTAACGATAGCAGATGCAGCCGGGACCGAAGACTTAACGTGCCTTCCAAAGCACGGAGGAGCTCGATATAGTAACATCATCATATAGGCTAACATCTTGGCAGTCAAATAGAAATAGCTACAGTGTCGTCTATGGATGATAACTACAATATTGTCTATGGATGACAATGCCTATGGCTAACCTCTTGGCAGTCAAATAGAAATAGCTAGTGTTGTCTATGGATGATAACTACAATATTGTCTATGGATGACAATGCCTATGGCTAACCTCTTGGCAGTCAGATAGAAATAGCTACAGTATTGTCTATGGATAATAACTACAATATTGTCTATGGATGACATTGCCAATGGCTAACCTCTTGGCAGTCAAATAGAAATAGCTACAGTGTTGTCTATGGATGATAACTACAATATTGTCTATGGATGACAATGCCTATGGCTAACCTCTTGGCAGTCAAATAGAAATAGCTACAGTGTTGTCTATGGATGATAACTACAATATTGTCTATGGATGACAATGCCTATGGCTAACCTCTTGGCAGTCAGATAGAAATAGCTACAGTGTTGTCTATGGATGATAACTACAATATTATCTATGGATGACAATACCTATGGCCAATCTCTTGGCAGTCGAATAGAAATAGCTACAGTGTCGTCTATGGATGATAACTACAATATTGTCTATCGATGCCAATGCCTATGGCTAACCTCTTGGCAGTCAGATAGAAATAGCTACAGTGTTGTCTATGGATGACAACTACAACATTGTCTATGGATGACAATGCCTATGGCTAACCTCTTGGCAGTCAAATAGAAATAGCTACAGTGTTGTCTATGGATGATAACTACAATATTTTCTATGGATGACAATGCCTATGGCTAACCTCTTGGCAGTCAGATAGAAATAGCTACAGTGTTGTCTATGGATGACAACTACAATATTGTCTATGGATGACAATGCCTATGGCTAACCTCTTGGCAGTCAAATAGAAATAGCTACAGTGTTGTCTATGGATGATAACTACAATATTGTCTATGGATGACAATGCCTATGGCTAACCTCTTGGCAGTCAAATAGAAATAGCTACAGTGTTGTCTATGGCTCACCTCTTGACAGTCAAGTAGAACAGTTCACTGGTAGCTCTGACAGAATAGTCTGGCACGAAGCTGTGTCTCAACATGGCGTCAACGTTTATGTTCTGAAGGGATCCCATGGCTGAAGGCGTCGGGGATTCGGCTGCGACAAATTAAAGTAAAAAATAATATGTGTCCTGGACTTAGATTAAAACAAAAAGGGAAGCTACGGCACTCACGACTCAAAAGTGATCCGCTTAAATTGTGGTAAATGAACACAATTCGCTTTAGTCACAATTGGACATTCAAACACGCTGCATGTGCACTCAACTTAAAAATATTGCATATATTCTGTGTTATAAAGATCAAACAATTCCTTCGATGCTTTTATAAAGAACACAAATAGTTCAAAATCAAATAAGAAATGCCTCGGCAACACTTTTCATTCGTAAAACTATAAAAACATTTTTTCCACAAAAATCACGGTTTGTCGTGAATCTTATTTACGTAATCGCCATTTTGTTATCAAGAAAAGGACAACAATACAGCTCAGCCTATTGCAGCGTATAGTTCTGTCTCGCTCGCTCGATTGAATGTTTATATACAGACGTGTGCGTATGTGAGAGTTGCTTATGTAGTTGAGTCGGATCATATTTTATTTGATTCTAGTATGAGCGTACCGTATCTTAACTTTTTGTTTTAATCTAAGGTTATGGATAAAGATCGGATAATCGGATGCATATTTACCGTACCGTACTGTTTATGTTGAAATGTTGGCTATTATGGGAAGCACTTTTTTTTATCGAAAAAAACCCGCGATTCCGGGAAATTTAAGTGTTCTCCAGTGAGATCCAATAATATAATTTTGAAACAAATTAGAATAGGGCATTTGACAAGTTTTAGAAAACGATCTCACGTTATTGACTAATGTTTATGGAGTCCGTAAAAAGTGGATATTCATCATTCTGTTGTGTATTTCAGTAAAAATAACCATATCAAAAACTCCATTTTCAAGTTGAGACGCCATATTGTCCAGAGAAACGTTTTCGCGTTTCTCTGGACAATATGGCGTGACGTCACACGACTGTTATTTAAACGTCAAATGATACAATGTAATGTCACTTTAACCGGAAGTTTACTTGCGTGTGACGTCATTTTAGGCTCCACCAATCCCAAGCGTTTTGGGTCACGTGACAATAGATAAGAAAACTATTAACTTTTTCGTATGTTTTAAGTAAAATAATGAATATTTTTTCTGTAAAAATCCCTGCCAATATTCATGCTAAACACAGATGCTAACAATAGGCACTTTATTTTTAATACTGTCAAATACCCTATTGCCCTGTGTGTATGATATAAAGATATTGTACAAGATGTCCTTATTGAATAAATAAATTTAAATTCATTTATGTTTTCGTATGAACCACACCACAATTTGTCTTACACCTTACATTACACTCACAGGTACTGAAATAATAAATTAAAATTTTACTTTAAGTAAATATACATCCGTTACAGGTTATGCGATCCCAGAATACCGAGATTTAACCGACACATAATTATGGTCGGAAAGCCAAAACTGTACATTGAATATTTTTTTAAAAGTATACTTGGGCTGTGATCTACAGTCGATACCGAAACCAAAAATATAGTTTTTAGAATTTTTGTCTGTTTGTCTGTATGTATGTCCGGGATAAACTCAAAAAGTACTGCGTGGAATTACTTCAAAGGCACGAATATTATTAAGAAGTCGGGTCAACATATAGGCTACATGTTATCACGAAACTCCACCTCTAAGGGGGGTAATACGGGGGTTGGAAGTTGATATGAAAGTCCTATGTTTTTGAAGTAAGACTTGAAATTTAACATGTATGCTCTATAGATGGTGTAGAGGTGTACTAATCTTTAGAAATAAATCCCCTTTTGGGGTCAAAAAGTATGTGCAAATAACTAACTCCACGCGTACGAAGTCGCGGGCGGCCGCTAGTTAGTTTTCAATAAAAATATGCAATGATATTAAGATAAGAAGAGGAGCTCGATGGCGCAACTGGTTAGCGCGTTCGGCTGCGATCGTTGAAGTTAAGCAACTTTCCCAGTGGTCGGTCATTGGATGGGTGACCAAAAATTTACTATCTCGAGCTCCTCCGTGCTTCGGAAGGCAAGCCGTTGGTCCCGGTTGCATCTGCAGTCGTTAGCACCCACCAATCCGCACTGGGCCCGCGTGGTGGGTCATGGCCCAATCTCCCTATTCCATCCACAGGGAAGGCCTGTGCCCCAGCAGTGGGGACATTAACAGGCTGATGATGATGATGATGATGATATTAAATACCCTAGATACACTACTCATAATGTGTCGCAATCAGGAAGTGCTTGAACACCACTCAAGCACTTCTTGGTTCACAGTCACGCGCGGAGCGTTGAAAAGTCAAATTTTGTTGTAATACTTACTATAAACTGATTTAATAGAAAATATTTGACTACCTCCGTGGCCGAGTGGTTTGTACACCGGGTTTCATAGTGTCTCCGACTCGAGAGATCCTGGGTTCGAATCCCGGTGGGGGCAGATGTTTGTGTGATGAATACGAGCATTTGTACTCCAGTCATGGATGTTTAAAATGTATTTCCTATATAAATATACTTATATATGTACAGTATATGTATTCTATCCGTTACCCTAGTGTCCCATAACACAAGCCTTATAGTGCTTACTTTGGGGCTAAGCTAATTGGTGTGAGTGTTGGAAATATTTATTTATTTATTCAAATGCATGGTCGGTAATATAGCCATCCCTATTCCTCCGTACCTGCTATATTGCTAATAGCGCATTCAAAATTACACTAATATTATAAAGGCGAAAGTTTGTGAGTGTATATATTTGTTACTCCTTCACGTATAAACGGCTGGAGCGATTTTAATAAAATTTGGTATGGAGTTAGCTGACAGCCTGGATTAACATATGGGCTACGTTTTACTGCGGGAAAATATTCCAAAACCGCAGTTAACACCGCGGCGCACAACTAGTTATGATGTAGTCAAAGAAATAAAGTCTATATTCTTCCGCCTATAGCACAAGTCGTAAAATTTTACGAGCTTGCATTTCTGTTGTTCAAACTGTCGAAACTGTTTGACGCATACATTTAAATTAAGACCTTATATACTATGCATTAATGGCGACTTTGAATGTTTAAATAATGCGTTATATCATTTTGACGTGACAACGTCTTATAATTCGATGGAGCCGGCTGCACGCATGAAAAAACATGACTCATGCGGCGTTACCTCGCTCTGAGGCGTTCCATTTAAGGCTTGAAGTGTAAGCGAGAGTGCGAACCAAGCAACAAAGAGGCACAATCGGCCTCAGCGTTCGACATCTGTCTCTCTCCTACTTGAGTGAGCGATGCGTCCGCGTGGACAGCTGCTATGCAATAATACATTTACATGTTTTCGTCAAGTATGAAGTACAGTGAAGAGTGAATGTGGTGTCAATTGTTTATAGCAACGATAATTGCGGCGATAAAGGTAATGATATCACACACGTTCAAAAGTTGTAAAACAATTGCACAAAGCACATTCATACTTGTAAAAACCTATGTACATTGTAAAAAAACGTTGTCACGTTCAACTATCGTTAGTAAACCGACTTTACAGACAACCGATTTTTTGACTACGCAACCATCTTACGAAGCTCCGTGGATGCGTGGTCCAATGTACCTTTTGGACAGGTTTTGGCCACGTTTTTGTTCGTATTGTTGTATGTATGGTATTATGTCGTTTGAATATATTCTTAACGAAAATTCCACTCACCGACTCCAATATTCTGCGTGAGAGCTTGAACACCGAAATAAGTGAAGGGTCCCGCTTCGAATACCAGGTTCTCTCTACCTACTGTCACTTCAACGCGTCCCTCCAGTATTAATACGAAGTAATCCACCTGCGGGGGAATATGGACTTTGTAGCAATAAGTATAAAGGTGAAAATAGCATGCATTGTTGATGATAACTGAATGTTATGTTGTTAAATACAGCCAAATATTGTGTGAACACTTCGAATATAAAGTTTTCTCTGTCAACTGTCACTTCAACGTGTCTCTTCAGTATTAGTACGATAGTATTAATGCGGGGGAATATGAGCTTTGTAGCAATAAGTATAAAGGTGAAAATAGCATACATTGTTGATGATAACTGAATGTTATGTTGTTAAATACAGCCAAATATTGTGTGAACACTTCGAATACAAGGTTTTCTCTGTCAACTGTCACTTCAACGTGTCTCTTCAGTATTAGTACGATAGTATACCTGCGGGGGAATATGAGCTTTGAAGCAATAGGCATAAAGGTGAAAATAGCTGTATTGGTGATTATAATATGTTGTCTATATACAGCCAACAATTGGATGAACATTTCGAATAAAAGGTTTTCTCTGTCAACTGTCACTTCAACGTGTCTCTTCGGTATTAGTACTAAGTAGTAAGCCTGCGAGGGAATATGGGCTTTGTAACTAAGGCGGTAGAGGTCAAAATGGTGTTCATTATTGATGATGAATCAATGTTTCTTACATATACTTTGTAGCAATAGGTACAAAGGTGAAAATAACATGCATTTGTGGCGGCGACATCTATATGCCGCACATATATATCCAACGGATGGAGGAAATAATCACTCGCCTCCTCAATAGATGGCGCTGCCAACGCTGCGATCAATACATATGGAAGCCTACATCGCGCAAGAGAAATTCGGATGCTAACACTGTATATATATAGGTACAATGCCCGACCAATACCAGTCGGGCCGCGGCCCCTAATCTACCATCATACAGCTCGGAGGCATATCTTCCTGCACATTGTTGATGATAATTGAATGTTATGTTGTCAATATACAGCTAGATATTCTGTGGACACTTCGAATACGAGGTTTTCTACCAACTGTCACTTCGACGCGTTCCTACAGTAATAAAACGAAATAGTAAACCTGCGAAGGAATACGGGCTTTGTAACTAGTACAGAAGAGGTGAAAATGGTGTGCATTATTGAGGATGAATCAATGTTTCTTACACTAATGAGCTTAACTCCGTAATAAACCTACAATAGCAAGAGATAGCGCTGCCTTGCAGCCTTAGAAATACTAGAGAGAATTCGACACGGACACGTTGGCGCAAAAAAGTTTCTATGGCCAATATGCCGTCTTACTTTGGTAAACCATTGCATGTAATGTCACTTTGACTGGAAGTTTATTAGCGTGTGACGTCATTTTAGTCTTCGCCAAGCCCAGGCATTTTCGGACACGTGACCATAGAACAGAAAAAATATTTCTATTTAATGATTTTTTAGAAACGTTATTCATATATTAAATACAAATTCCAACAATTGGTACTTTATTTTCATACTGTCAAATATCCTGTGATTACTGACAGCTTTGAGGAGCGCGATGGCACAAGTGGTTAGCGTGTTCGGCTGCGGTCGTTGAAGTTAAGAAACTTTTGCAGTGGTCGGTCATTGGATGGGTGGCCAAAAATTCATTAAGTATCTCTCGCTTCTCCGTGCTTCGGAAGGCGCGTAAAGCCGTTGGTCCCGGCTGCATCTGCAGTCGTTAGCACCCGCCAATCCGCACTGGGCCCGCGTGGTGGGTCATGGCCCAATCTCCCTATAGGCCTGTGCCCCAGCAGTCGGGACATTAATAGGCTGGTGATGATGACTTACAGCTTTGCCTTGTTGATAGACGAAGGTGCTCAGGTCTTTTTTCGTCTTTCCCTTCAACTTGATGTGCTGTATAACGTCTTGCCTCAACAGTCTTCTCAAAACGGTTTCGGAAACCGTATCCGGACGGAAAGCGTCTACGCCTGGTGAGAAAAGTTAAACGATTATGAATGCAAAGCTAGGCTGGGAGCAAACAGGAAAAGGGTTTTATTTTATAGATAGGTCCGACAAATGACTCCGCCCCACCTGATGTTAAGAGCCGTTTCACATTTTTTGCAAAAAATCATAATTTTCGAGCGCCTCGTTTACCCCCTTTCAAAAGATTTTGAATATTTCCAATAGAAGTAAACAGTAGATTCATTGTTCCTATTGTAAGATAATGTAGAATATTTGCAAATACTATTTTCCTTTTTTTGTACTGATCGTTCTACCGCAGCTAGTTTACGGAAAAAACGATAATATGCACAACTTCAAACGCCTAATTCTTTAAATAATGTTCAATAAATTATATCAATTAATTACTACGACATCAGAAACATTTTGATGTAACATAATCTATTAGAATCTTGATTTTCTATCTCATTAATTACTAAAAAAACATCTAACCTCCGTGAGGTTTACCAAAAAACAATGCAGGTTTACCTCGTATTTTGATATTGAATTAAATAGAATTACTATCAAAAACTTTCATAAAACTAATCTACTATCATTGAACTACTGAAATATGTATATATTTTTATAATTAGTTCATTAATAATTATTTTATAAGACTCGAAACATCACCCGTAAAATGCAATATATACTAGTGCAAATCTACCTACGCGCCGATCAGTACGGCAGCGGCGCAATTTTGTAAAAGGGCTCTTAAGTGACAGTGAAGTCCAGACGCGAAGATAGCTGATACAGCAGTTCTACCTGCCACACCAGACATCCTCACCCTGCCGGCCTGCATGTTGCTTCTTCACGCCTCTTTTAAAGGATCCCAGGTTGTTAGAGGGAGGGAACACGTGAGCGGGCAGAGCATTCCATTTACGGATAGCGCGACAAAGAAATGAGTCACCAAACTTCTATGTTCGTGTAGCAATAGTGCTTACGATAAATCAAATGCCAAACATATATGATTTATCAGCTACATTGAGACATACGATACTTAATTCCGAAATAATATAAATATATCATAAGAGATGAAAGTCAATCTGTCTATTACGCTTTCACGTCTAAAAGTATAAGCCGATTTTGATGAATCTTGATATAGAGACAAGACTGTTTGTCGTCAATATAGAAGCCTAGGTTTTGTGTAGAATACCTGAATTATATGGTTTGCTGGTAAAATATACAGTTTATGATAGAGACGTAGGTTACTTTTTTCCCAGAAAATGGTAAGCTACTTTAGGGACTTTTTCAAATCTATAGATATAATAAAATGGTAGGAAATGCAAAACTGTATATTGAATATTTTTTTAAAAGAATACTTTGGGTGTGATCGACAATCGATACCGAAGCCAAAATATAGATTTTAGAATTTATGTCTGTTTGTCTGTATGTATGTCCGGGAAGAACTCAAAATGTACTGCATGGATTTACTTCAAAGGACATGGTTAAGAAACTGCCCTTAACGTGTATAATTATTTCGCACTAGCCCGTAACATTATAACATTTTTTTTTAATTATCAAATGTTTATTATTCTCATACAGTTTTCGTGAAATAATCAAATATTTAAAAGTATGAAAATTGACTTCACGTCTGTTTCAAAAGGAAAATGTTCCGTTTTACAAAAATAAAAAAAATATATGTACACAAAAAATATTTGTGTAAGTTTATCGAAATAAACAATAATTTTTATTATAACAAATCACTGAAGGCCTAAAATAGTAGATTGTATTATTCTGATCATGCTAGAGACAAGGCTGTATGATGATAAATTCTTTGATTTTTGCAAATGAACAAAATAAAACTTCACAGACTTCCTGTCAGGCCGACGACAACAAATTATTTGTATTTATTTTTGCATTAAAAACACCTTTTGTGAAGTGTTAATCAGAGAAATGGGAGGAAGGATCTTAAGAAAATGAACAATTAATGACTCTGTACATAACTGGCAACATCTTTTATCAACTGTAGCAGCTCGTTTCAGTGTATGGTTTTAAATCGACTGCTTCAATTGTCCCTTCAGGCGTCCCGCAAGGCTCCCACTTGGGTCCTATTTTCTTTCTGGCTTATATTAATGATATATGTAATCATATCTGTCATAGCAAGTTCAAACTGTTTGCTGACGACTTAAAAATATATAGAACCATCAGCAGCCCTGGTGATATTGTCTTGCTGCAAAATGACTTAAATAATATTACGGAATGGTGCAAGCAAAACTGTATGTTGCTAAACTCTGAAAAATGTTCCTTCTTGCGTCTTTCCAGGAATAAAATTATTTTTAATACTGATTATTATATCGAAAATAAAAAACTAAAACAAGTGGAGTGTGTTCGGGACTTGGGAGTTTTAGTGGACAGATTTTTAAATTTTCACTACCACTTTGACTATGTTATTAAAAGAGCTTCGAAATTGTCAGGATTTATTAATCGTCAGATGAAACTTTTTAATAATCCGGACCTGTCGCTTAAAATATTTAACACTTTAATTCGAGGAATCTTGGAGTACTGCAGTATTGTATGGAATCCGGGATATCAAGTGCACTCAGATCGCGTTGAACGTGTACAGAAACGCTTTCTTTACAACCTTGCTTATTCCGATCATAAATGTCGAGTGCTAAGATCTTATGAACAGCGACTGTCCCATTACAAACAGCAATCTCTAAGAGACCGGAGAAGAATGGTTGACATAATATTTCTGTGTAAAATAATGCGCGGATACACTGTTACACCTTTTATTTTGCAACGCAGCAAATTATTCGTACCTCGACAAAACAGCCGCTTGCAAAATAGAAAAACTTTCCAACTTCCTGAATGCCGGACAAGAATTGGTCAGCATTCGCCAATCTACCGGATGTTGTCTGCTTGTAATGCAGTTAGACATAGTGTTGATATTTTCGGCGACTCTATTGCGGTAATGAAAAAAAAACTAAGAACATTGTTGCAAATGTAAGTGATAGGGTAGTATTGTGTACATAAAATTTAAAAAGGATTCTAAGATATTTATAAAAGTGCATGCTGTGTTTGCATTTATAAGATTTGTGATACTGTTAAGATACACTGTATGTAATTATTTTGTCATTTTCACAATTCTGTTTTGCAAACCAAATAAAAAAAAAAAAACTGTAGCAAGGTTATGTGACATAGTAGGAGTTCTCATAATTTTCGAGATTGTGACTTTATCAAAAGTTCCCTTTTTCATAGATATTATAAACATTCAGCCATTCAGCTTTAAATATTACTAATAACAATATTTATACATTCCTAGGGCAGTCGCTCATACAAAATTTTACCATGTCCTTTTGCACGAATATTATTAAGAAGTCGGGTCAACATATAGGCTACATATTATCACGCTATCACCTACGGGGAACGAGCAGTGAACCTTTATTTCTAACTAACTCCACGCGTACAAAGTCGCGGGCGGCCGCTAGTCTTCAATAATAAAATACCACATACTTGTTGCAAGAAACTGGAATGTGGCCAGGGTGAGTTGGGGCGATATGTGTATGCGTTGGTTCTCGTGTCGTTCAGCGAACGCCGCGAAGTCTTGCAGCTTGTTCAGGGGGTGGTTTCGTCGCTTCTTCGTGCGATTATCCACTGTTATCAATAAACAGAACAAAGACTTTAGCAGTTTTGTTTTTCTTGTTAAAAAGTTGTGTTGTGGCGGATATTAGTGTCTAATAATGGTGGATTATTAACCACTAAGTGTTCGGGAACATGCACAAGTGTTGGCAAGTGAAACAAAATAGCGGAAAGTGTCTTTCGACGTTCCCTCAAGAAGTCCACGGGGAGGTTACAGTAAATTCCTACACATTTACTGAAACATAGGGAAAGGGGGATTGACTTGACTACCACTTACTTTGGCTTGATTTATTACTTTGACCACGAGTGCTATAGTATTTGTAAACATTTTAACACTTGAAATTGGCTAAATGCACAAATTAGCCGTGCGAAGCCATGTAGAAAAAAAATTAAAATAAAATATATATGATAAAATTAATATTGATACAATAAATACATCCCACGTGGTGAGTTAAGGCCCAATCTTCCCCGAGTCCACTACTGCTTTATTTTAACGCCACTTAGATACTTTTCCCTGAAAAGCGTCGATGAATCTGCAGTTTTCTCTTTAGTAACACACTGTAAATGTCAAAAAGTTAGCGAATAAGTAAACTAGACCTTTTTTTTTTGTTTTTTTTTTGTGACGAGGGGAAATGCAGTTACGCACCATACCGTGACGCTGACTAGGCGCACGGCGTGTGTGGGACTCGCCGGCACGGGAAACAGTGCCGACCCTACTCAAGCAGGACCAAAGTAAACTGGACCTAGCAATTTTTTTTGTAAAAAACTTATACTTGATTTAATAAAATTATTTCTTCACCTATTAATATGATGTAAAACTTGCCCTAGGAGCTTGATGGCGCAAGTGGTTAGCGCGTTCGGCTGTGAAAGTCGAAGTTAAGCAACTTTCGTAGTGGTCGGTCATTGGATGGGTGACCGAAAATTTTCTATCTCGTGCTCCTCCGTGCTTCGGAAGGCACGTTAAGCCGTTGGTCCCGGCTGCATCTGCAATCGTTAGCACCCACCAATCCGCACTGGGCTCGCGTGGTGGGTCATGGCCCAAACTCCCTATTCCATCCATAGGGAAGACCTGTGCCCCAGCAGTGTGGACTTTAATAGGCTGATGATGTTGATGTAAACTTACGGAACACATCTGTCTCATCCACGATCTCTGCTTGTATCATCTCCTCTATGACGTCTTCTAGAGTGACCAACCCTATGGTCTCGTAGAATGGGTCGCCCTCCCCCTCGTTGTTGATGCGGTGCACGAAAGCCATGTGACCCTTGTGCCCTGGGAATAGAGTTTCGAATGTAGTAACAGTCGACAGACTTTCAATGCCTAGCACCCACCAATCCGCACTGGGCCCGCGTGGTGGGTCACGGTAGTACCCACCAATCATATGTCATTATATAAGACATTTCATTTTTCATTTTTCCTAGAGAATTTTTTTTTCAACACTCACACCAATTAGCCTAGCCCCAAAGTAAGCACTGTAGGCTTGTGTTATGGGATACTAGGGTAACGGATAGATTACATATACTGTACATATATAAGTATATTTATATAGAAATACATATTTAAACATCCATGACTGGAGTAAAAATGCTCGTATTCATCAAACATCTGCCCCAACCGGGATTCAAACCCGGGACCATGAAACCCGACGTACAAACCACTCGGCCAAGGTTGTCGTCAAAATATAATCGCTGAAGTCAATCCCTGAAGCATTATTTTTAAAATTGATGTATCGTAAAGTTTGCGTCGAGTCATATCCAACTCAGTTATTTAAAACGAAGTAAGCTTTTTTACGTTATGCCGAAACTCCACTTGGCTATTCGTGTTTGCTATTTGCAAACCTGATAACAGTCTGCCCATATCGACACTACCATAGTAAACTTACGAATTTGAATTTCATAAAACCTACTACACCAAAATATAGTATATTAATTTGGTGAGTTTATTTTGGGTGTATAAACATAAAATGCAGATTCAAACAATAAATCATTGATAAAATGTGTAACTTCCCTGATGTCAAGCACCCCATTATGTGCAGTTTTTGGAGTTTACTCCTTAAGAATCGATTTGCATATATAAGGGGCCCGGTATGAGAAAAATGTAAGGAGTGACATCTATCGATGAATGACCTCGTTACGTTTTTACTGTCTACGCTGTAGCAGCCGTAGTGCTACACCGTAGCACAGTATCGTAGCGTACCTTTATTTATGCACATCTGAAATTGACTATTGTAAAAAGTTTAATGTAAAATATTTCGTCGATTAGTTATAATAAATGTATATGAAATGAATAAATATATATTTATATTATTTTCATTAATTTGTTAATTTACCCTTTCATACAGTATCAATCTTTTTTAAGTTAAATAAACTATTTTTGCGTCTGGTTAGGCTATCGAACTTAGTAGTAAACTCCAGTCGTGCGTCGGAGCTGACACACACATTTTTTTTTATTATAGATTTTTACTATTGAGAAGATATTTTTATTACGTAAATTAAAAAAAAAAAATTACATTGTCTATTGGATTATTAAAAATTCTATTCAAGAACACCAAGTATTGCGATACCCTGACAGGGTTCAGGTAACGTACTTTATAACATGTATTTAACCATCTCTGTAACTACATGAATGCAATAAATGATTTGATTGATTGATTGATACTAAAAAAGCAGATTCGTAAGTTTGCCGTAGATGTGACGATATCATGTTCTATAAGCAGGGTTGTCAGGTCTCCCGATTTAACAGGAGATCTCCGGCACCGCACCTTTCGCTATCCATTTGCCCAGATAGCGAAGGGTGCGGGTTCGAGTCCCGTCTGCTTCCTGGTCCGCGTGAATTTTTTTCTAGTAAAATTATCATTAGATTTAAACATTTAGCAGTTAAATGTTTAAACAATAAAAATAGAAGCTTTTAATTGATTACTGGGATGAGCACAACGATATTAAATACCCTAGATACACCACGTCCGCTCAAAATGTGTCCCTATCCAGAAGTGCTTGAACTCAACTCAAGCACTTCTTGGTTCACAGTCACACGCGGACAGTTGAAAAGTCAACATGCCGCAGACTTGCGTGAAAAAATGCGAAAATAATAGTATGTAAAGTGTCGTTTTTTCGTCAGGTACCTACTCGTACATAATCAATGTACGTTAATTTAACGCATTTGAAGCAAATTTTGTTCTAATAATGACTATAAACTAATGTAATAGAAAATATTTGTGATATTCAAATGCATGGCCGGTAGTATAGTCGTCTCTTTTCTTCTCGGTCCATACCTGCTATATTGCTAACAGCGCATACAGAATTACGCATAGAGTCAAAGGAAAAAGGTTTATATTCTTCTGCATAATATAGAAATCAGTAGTAAACTTGCGTTTCTAACTGTCATAACTCTTCGAGACATTCGTTTTAATTAAGACCTTATACATTATGCATTAAAGACGACTTTCAATGTTTAAATAATGTCATATATTGTTTTGAAAACGCGATCATCTTACGGAGCTCCGTGGATCGTCCAATGTACCTTTTGGACAGGTTTCGGCCACGATTTTGTTCGTGTTGGTGTATCTAGGGTATTTAATATCGTTGGATGAGCAGTGTCAAGTTTACGATGTGAGAAGTTTAAATTAGAATGTTATTTGATGAAACAACAAATAAACAAAATATTAATTAGAAATATCTGTAAAATAGCTTCTATACTGTGAACACAGTCAGGTCATAAGTATTGTCACACAGTAAAAACTTTTCTTTTAGAATGCTGGCCACAAAAAAGTTTATTGAATTCGAATTTCGAATTGTTCATGAAAATAAAAATGTATACTTTTTAGAATTTTACTCATTTTTCAATATGGAGTGGACGCTTAAAGTAGACCGCGTTGCAGTTATTGCGTTGCATCGTTGCGGTTATGCGCCAATTCCATTTTTTGACATACTGAAAAATTTGAATATAACCAAAAGATTCGTTTATCGTACCATCAAACGATACAATGAAGACTCTAGTGTAGATGACAGGTCAAGAAGTGATTGCCCTCGGTCTGTTAGTATAGATAAAAGCTGTCAGTAGTGATAAAAGCTGTGAAGGCGCGCATTCAAAGAAATCCCAAACGTAAGCAGAAACTGTTGGCCCTTCAGATGGGGTTAAGCAGAACCATGGTGAAAAGGGTGTTAAAGGAAGACTTAGGGCTTCGGGCATATCGAAGAAAAACAGGACATCGTTTGAATGCTCGTCTAATGGACCTGAGACAGAAGAGAAGCCGCGCTTTGTTGAAGCGGTACACGGGAAAAAATATCGGGAAATTCTTTTTTCGGTTGAAAAAAATTTTACCGTAGAAGAGAGCTACAACAAATAAAATGATAAGGTGTACGCACACAGTAGAGAACAAGCGAGCAACCGTATTCCACGTGTCCAACGAGGTCATTTTCCATCCTCGCTCATGGTATGGTTGAGAGTTTCTCATTGGGGCTTAACAGAGGTACATTTTTGTGAGAAAGGTGTAACAACTAATGCAGTTGTGTAACAAAATACAGTCCTGACGAACCTTGTGGAACCTGTTTCTCATACCATGTTCAATAACAGGCAATGGGTATTCCAACAAGATCCGGTGCCAGCTCATAGAGCGAAGAGCACACAAGACTGGCTGGCGGCGCGTGAAATCGACTTCATCCGGCACGAAGACTGGCCCTCCTCCAGTCCAGATTTAAGTTCGTTAGATTACAAGATATGGCAACACTTGTAGGAAAAGGCGTGTTCAAAGCCTCATCCCAATTTGGAGTCACTCAAGACATCCTTGATTAAAGCAGCCGCCGATATTGACATGGACCTCGTTCGTGCTGCGATAGACGACTGGCCGCGCAGATTGAAAGCCAGGCTGTATTCAAAATCACGGAGGTTATTTTGAATAAACTTTATTGTCATAAGAATCTATGTTGTGTTAAGTTCATTTTGGTATATAAATGGTTACATTATGAATAAACTTGTTTCAATCTCTTATCTATTAGACAAGTCCGTCCGTCTGTCTGTCTGTGGTGCTGTTTCAGCGGCCAAACCGTAAGAGATAGATAAAGAGAATATTTAAGTTATAAGTTAAGAATAGTCTGATAAGACTACAAACCGGATTTGAGTAACGTAGCACTTCCGGTTTTCGAGAAATCACGAATTTCAAACGAGACCACACAAAATCTCCGACGTTCTCAATTAATTAATCAGGTTTTGGTGAACATTTGGTTCACTGGTTTGCTAGTTACTTTATATTAAACATGTGACAGAATTTATGACCTGACTAGGTTTATTTAGTTTCAAAATTTTATCTAGCGCGACGATTTTTAACTGTATGTATATTTGAAGACTTACCATCTTTAAATTGTTTGAACATCACATCCAAGGTGACGTCTTCAAAGACGAAGTTGCACGGGTTCTGGTAGTATTGACAGAGGGTGCGCAGGGGCGTGTTGTCATCGGGGTCCACAAACGCCAGGTCCTTGATGAAGAGTACCGTCACGATGTTGCCGCGCGTCCCCTCGTACACAGGGATACGGGAGTAGCCTGGGGGACGAGAGACAAGGGAAGCCTTTTAGCCTAGTTGTCTAAGTATGAATGCTGTACCCCTAGCACGAACCATTATCAAATTGGAATAGTTTGCAAATTATGATTTTATTTATTTTTTAGCATTTAACTGCTAGATGTTTAAATCTAAAGAAAAGTTTACTAGAAAAAAAATCCACGCGGACCAGGCAGCGGACGGGACTCGAACCCGCACCCTTCGCAATCCGGGCGAATGCACTGACCATTATGCTACCACGGCCCTATTCACTGCCACGGCCCGCGTCGAAATTTTCCTAGCCTTTAAACAAAGCGAAGAGATGGCGCTGCCTTGCAGCTTAAGGCTAGGAAAATTTGACGCGGGCCGTGGCAGCATTATGGTCAGTTCATTCGCCAGGATTGCGAAGGGTGCGGTTCGAGTCCCGTCCGCTGCCTGGTCCGCGTGGTTTTTTTTCTAGTAAACTTTTCGTTAGACGAAATGTTAATGTCAAATTTTGTATGGAAACTTGAACAGCAGCGCCACTTTGGACTTAACTGGAACTAAAAATCAGTACACATTTGACAATGACATTTCGAAGTCGCAAACGTTACGAATTCGATTTTGGTTCGTACTGGTACTGTACAAATATCTCTAATTCTTTGCGGGCTATGAGGGTAACTTTTCAAGGCCGCACGATTTGAGCGTTAGATTTTAGTGCGCCTTTTTTAATTTTAAAGGACGAATAGATATAAACAACTGGAGAGAAAGATAATAATAAGCAAGCTATAAACTAGGCTTGTTGAAAATATATCGATGTATCGATATATCAATATTTTTTGTTCGATATATCGATATTTTTGCCGATATATTTTGATTCGATATATCGATACAAAATAACCAATATCGAAATTCGTATCAAAAACGATATTTTTTTAATTATTAGCGGCATATCACGATCTAACTAAATTCGTATCTGGAAAAATCGTAACTGGATCTCAGATTAATGATATTCAACATATCTATGATCTGTGCTGTATTTAGTATTGTCTATATATAATAGGGTCTATTTTTAGGGAGATAATTTTCGTTCCATTATTATTCCGCGTGTCATATTTCGTGAGCTACTGTACGATATTTTTGGGAAAATTGGTCCGATATATCGATGTTTTTTTCGCGATATATCGAAGCCGATATTGATATTTTTTAAAATATCGATGTATCGATATATCGATATTTTTTTCAACTTTCGACATCCCTACTATAAACTTATTTAAATGTTCCTCTTTGTACGTACATAATATCAAGGCCGTTATACCAAACCACACCGCGATGTAGATGTATGAACAGCGTCATATGTTAAAAAAACTTACACACAATGTACGTATATGTACGTACCTATTCTAACGAAATATCAGATTACATATGTTGAATTTTTAAGTTTTTAAATTATATAATAATGTCAATATATGTTTTTATAATTATTATTATGAAAGTTCGTTTCACTTCTGACATGCGTAGTCTGTATACACGCTGTTATTTTTAGTGTGTATGCTGTTGGTCGCCGATGACCTTTACAGTATCACCGGGTTTGGGGACGGCGAAATCCTAAGGGGACTTCAAGCCGAGACTTATCGAGTCTCTATTGGTATTCTAGGCGGATGGCATCTCCCCACGGGGGGAGTCTCCTCTCCGTCTGGAGCCTCTAGACCACGAGCACCTGAGGGGACAGATTGAAGTGATAATCTCCAAGTTAATTACAATTATAGCACCACTAAGACACTTGTTCTGAAAAGCACTTATACAGGATGGTCCAATTAGTAACATCAACATTTTTTTTTAAATTCCTCGTCGCTGGGGGTTTCCGAAAATACCCTATGTATGTTCCGCGATTTTTCTTAGTTTTCGAGTTATATTTTTTTTGTGTAAGTATATTTAATGATTTCTGCCAGCTAGGTTTCAAAATATCATGTCTTTTTTCGTAGTAGTTATTTTGCAGTCTTTTTTTTGTGACATAATTGTCTTGACTTTTGTTTTAATAAAAAAAAACTCAGGTTTCTGAAATAACTTAAAGTAACTTAAAAAAGGCTTGAAAGTTGGAACTTTAATTTTTAGTAGGATTTCCTCAAACATTCAACTTCAATTTAAAAATATAAAAAAGGGCTTCCCATAGCTTCTGGCCAAGTTTATAAAACCGCAAGCTTCTAAACTACCAAAAAACATAAAAAAATAGTACTTAATCAGATACTTAATCACATAGGTAGTAGGTCAGGTACTTAATAACTTCTCACTGACGGAGGCCAGTGAGACTTGGGAGGTCCGGGCCCTGCATTGCACAGGCCTTCGCAAATAAATAGGGATGCCCCCGATGCCTCGGGGCATCCCCAAGTTGGGTGGCTCCGTTCGAATCGGAAACACACTGGCGGGGTTGTGGGTGTATCCGTAAAGGTTCCCATGGCCTCGCACAGTGCCGCTGCCTTGTCAAGGGGGGTACCGCCTGATGGTGAATCCCGTCCCCGGGGAGGCCTCGGCCCATCGGCGAGATGAGGGAACCTGAGGGGGTCGGCTCCACTAGAGGGCTTCTCTGGGACTCGGACCTTGTCGTGGAGGGCGGGGAAAGATGCCCAGGTACGTACCTGTACCTGGTATAGCGTGTCGTGTGTAGACCAAATCTTCGCACTCTTATCCTACGGGTGCGGTGTCTGCCTAATGCAAAGCTAGTGTGCCAGTATGCCAGCTGTGTAATGTTGGTGCTTGTGGCCTGTTTGGGAGAAGTCGAAGGCGCGTTGGCGCGGGTGATTTTGTCGTCGGGGTACTCTAAGACGTGCCTAAGCCGACTGAATCGGAGGGACGTACGATTAGAGGACGGTAGGGAGGTCGTATGATAGCTAGAGGCTTTGACTACTAGGGGGTTCGGATGATGCGCGGCTTTAACGAAGTAACGTCTCGAGGCGTCCTTCATATACTTCGCGATGGAGTCAAATCGATATTGCGCACGTATCCTGCGCAACACACGATTTTGCAGCGTTTGTAGTGGTTTATGACGCCACGGAGGTACGTGGGCGAAGCATACACTCGCGTAGGTCAAGATAGGGCCGATGCAAGTTTTGTAAATTGTCAACTTATGCCTAAGGGCATTTATTACGCTTCCCTATGAAGTGGAATAGCCTGCCGCGAATGAATGCTGCGCGATCACGAACTACCTTGAGATGAGGTGCAAACGTCAATCGGTTATCTAACGTGATCTCGTCCTTTTAAAGACGGCGACAAACAACTGACGTCATCGGGCCGTTCAGAACACGTATACAAAGATTTCTCTGACTACCCGCAATTAAGGTTATCAAATAACAATTTTGATTTTCATAGTATTTTTAATAAAAAACTACATTACAAAAACATCACTGAATCAACCAATATTAACTGTTCAATAATTATGCAACAGATTTCAAAGGCCATCTCGATGTTATATTGTATAACACACACGCTAAACACGCACTCATTGACTGATTTCAAGCTATCTGACATTAGAGTCACGCGTAGAGATGAGCAGTTGGAAAAAACCCATTTGGGAAAAAACCCAATAGACGGGTATTTTCATTATTTAACGTAATTATCACGATCTTAAAAAAAAAAAATTTTTTTAGAACAAATGTAGCGAAAAATAGGGTCTTTGCGATGCGCACATACTTTGCGCCAGCGTAGATAGGGCACTAGCTGTTGCCTGTTGTTCGAATCTAGGGCTGCTATCCGTCCGGGTTTCCCCGGATTTGCCCTAGTTTACGGGGCGTCCGGGGAGCGTCTGGGCGGGATTTTATTTGTAGTCCGGGTTTAAAAATTTCCTGTTTTGGGTCGCCAATTAATACGTCAATTTAAATGTCTTTAAAAATAAATAAATCTATTCTAACACTGTAACCATAAATGCTGACTTCCAACAAAGATCAGCTTTGTCGCCCATACTGTCCGCAATAACAGCATTCGTTGCTATGCGGATTACAGCACTGAAACTTTTTACACTGGCCGGTCTAACATCCCTCGGATGGAAGAAGAAGGGTGTAAAGACAGACTTGTGTCCGAGACTGAGATGTTACTGGATCAAGTCTCAAATTGGAGCCAACAAAATTTGATTGGATTAACCCAGCAAAGACACAAGTGTGTGTGAAAAAGCTTGTGTGTTCAATAGATCTAGTAAGTACCTCAAGCCTAAATATCGGGTGTTACTTTACAAAGCACTGGTCCTCTGGGCTGGAGTACCCCAATACCTACCAGCTCCTTGCTCTTGACCGGATACAAAAGCGGGCAGTTTGACATATCAATGCTCCTGAGCTCACTCACGCGTTGCAACCCCTTAGCATGTGCAGACGGTACAACACGTAAAAGGACGCAACTCCTTCCACGTGTCGTACCGTCTATACAATCAATGGAGAGTGTTCCGAGGAATTATTCAACCGGATGCCAGTGGCGAAGTTTCTTCACAGCACCACACACCGCAGAGAAGTTTCCCGCCCATCATCTGGACGCCTGGCGTTCGAGCACCATGTGTTCCTTTCTTTTGTGTACCAGCAAGATCTAGAACGAACTTTCCTCAGTATTTTTTTCTTATAGCTATGATATGGTAATCTTAAAAAGGCGGATGAACCTTTTCGTTCAGAGCCGGCAACGCATGAGTGGCCCTTGGTGCTGCAAGTGTCCATGGGCAGCATTGACCACTTACTATGAGGTTGACCGCTAGCTCTTTTGCCTACATCAACATAAAAAAAAGTTGATTTGTGACATTTTTCACTCTTTTTTTATTGGTCTGTCCGGGTTCTGTGCTCCAAAATCCGGGGTTATCACGCCTCCGATCCTGGTTGCCACATTTTAGAGATGGCAGCCCTATTGGAATCGTCAAAATATGTAGCCTGATTCAGGAACTAAAATAAAACCGGCAATTTATTATAACAATAAAAAGGTGTCTTCCTGTTTTATCATAAGATTTTTTCTGTGCATTGTGATGGTATTGTTATTGCAGAAAGAATGTCTATTGGAA